GGCAATACGAGCATCCGATATTGATTCTACCAATAATGTGATTGTCGAGTGGCAACATTTTGTCCACTGTTTCTTGCATCCTGTTTGATGGGGCATATTTGACCGGAAGCTGGCCTAGGATGGACCACGCACCATTTGAGGACGGATCGTGAATAAGCATGACCAAAGGCCCATTCTGACTGGGTATCGTAGAAGGCAACACACAAAAGGATGCACTCCATAGCTCTGTTGAATCCAAGTACACAATGATTGACTCTTCTGACAGACGTAATCATTGTCTGCACTGGTGATCCCAAGTTATCACTAGAACACCCCAACTGATTCCGAGAGCGCGATACTTTGGTAAAAATCCTAACTGTTTTGCCCTAATTTCGCCCGAATATCGGTACTTATGTTTTCATGACCTAGCACAAAATCCGCTTTTAGACATGCACTCCGATTTTCATCTCACCTGGTGGAGTAGTTTGTTCTTGAAGTATACTACACAAATATCAACTAAGCCTTCGGGTGTGGGTTAGTAAGGCCAAAAAACCAGCCTAATGACGGGCAACTGGCTTGCCAACTTTTGACTGAATCTGGTTCCTCAAGGTCCGCCCCTTGCATGAATTATCACGTTTCTCCTTTTTTCCTGCGGATGCAAATGTACCAGTCGGTAGGTGTGCGGATGCATTCGGTTCACTGAAATTCACACGCACACAGCTTAACGTAGAATGTCTAACACATTGGCTGGCCATTTAGAGAGACTTATTCACCGCAGAATTTTGAGAACAGATGCGCGTCCTGACTTCACCAGCAGTTTGGGAGGCTTAAATATAACACAATTTTTGGGTAATGTAAACTTAAAGGAGCGAAGTCAGTCTGTTTATCTTTTTCATGGAGTGACGAGTTTGGTGCACAGATGTTCTTCAAAATGGTTTCCATATATTGATTTTTCTTGACAAAACAACATCATTGGTTCGATGATACGAATAAACGGTCAGTTCAGAAACCAGCGGATTTGTTTGCATCAATTTTTGCGTCATTAGAAATTTCCGCAACTAAACGCGGATCTGTGGAATACGCTGGCTGGCTGGTTTTAACAGGAAAAGCAAATAAATCCCAGCCTAATCTCTGGTTTATGATATTCTTAGGCAGAATGTTGCCGAAGAGTTTTCAGCGACCTGTTGAGTAGTGTGTTCAGTCTGACCGACAGTGTATCTGACTTTCATTTGACGGTTGACGAACAGCATGTTCTTAAAACCATGCTCTCGGTTTGTCACCTTTAAGCTAAATGAACTGGATAGATTTAGCATAAAGGTTTTTTGATTCTGATTGATATTAAAGCCAAATACATGTATGCTACTTTTGCCTATCTCTTTGCCCGTGAAAGAGATCAAAGGGGCTGCTTTTCTTTGTCCAAACGGTAATACAGCTGAGAGTTGAACATTCCAACAAAGACTATAATCTCACCACAGAAAAATACTTCCCACCATTGGTGACGCTCGGACCTTGATACGAAGAGTGTTGACAATGTGCCAGGGATCGATTCCTATCGTTGTGAGACGAGTCGGTGACCGTTGGCACAGAGGCAAACGTACAGTGTTATCGATGACATTAACCGTAGGCGGTTCATCAAACTATGGTGCACGTGCAGTATACCTGGTAGAGGCGAAACGAAAGTGTTTTTGGAAAAAACGTTGCAGCAACTAAATGAACACGACTTACCATTCCTTCAAAACATCGCTCTGTGAAATATGCCACTCAAAAAGCCCTAAAATTAGTACGTATTATTGTGAACTTTCACCGTAATTTCTCTAAATCTGTTGTGTTAACAGCTACCTGAATTCCTGCAAAATCTAATCCGTCAGAGTACTCAGACTGATTTTCTCCGGAACCGGTCGTCTCTATTGTGATGGTATAATCTGATCTGTATTCAAGGCTTCAGAACAGCCTTACCATATTTAACTGGACATATACAAAAAGCCTTCAGAATTGACCGATTCATTATCAACTTACCCAATGCTAGACTTGATCGCACCAAAATCTCCATATGGTATGTGTTCGAGTTAGTTGGTTTTCATCTCCAATGTCCCTCGTTAATAAAAATCCGGAAGAATGATTTTAATCGCGCCCATGAAGACGTGTGTTTGTGATGTTTTCTTATCTGGCTGTAGACCGTCTGAACGTCACCTTAGATTCTTGAGGATACGAAATGATGACCGCACTTTGATGCTTCATCATCATTGTCAGGTGTAATAACCGCGTACTTGTCGGGTAAACGGTATATTGTTGGCGTGTGAATTGGCTGACCATCTTTTTGAAGTCAGTCGAAAATCGCATTTGAGGCCAACACGTGACACGCTTAGTGACCAAAGTAGAGCTTTTCTTCTCATGCGTCATGCCGTTAGCATAGTTGTCCAGCTGTCCTGCTTCTTGAACAATTTAGATGGGGCAAAGCGATTGCCACCTCGCACAACCAACCCACGGGATGGATCTCCGTAGCTCCGAGGCATCCGGATTCGGAGCAGAAATCTGTATTATAATTTAGGCTTTCTTCTTTGCTATGCATTTGGCTGGGTAGGTATTCCCAAAGCAGTCATGTGGATACTCAGACTTCGTATACACAAATACATACATTGCACGGATTTGTGCATTCAATTTCATGCCTCAAAATGCGATTGCTGTCAGATGAAGGTGAGCGCACACCATAGAATTGATTCAGCCCATGAATGCTACCCTTTTGGATTTCAGAAGATATCTCCACAGAGTCGAGAACGAGAAGCTTCTGTGACAATTGAGTCTGTGCTGATCTCTCGTTTATCAAGCTCCATCCTTGATCAAGGCATAGATGACAGTCATTCTCGGGATCCTCTGACGTCAGCAGTGGAGTACTCCGAACATCCGCCATGAACTTTACTCAGCCGTTATGACAGTCGTGCAACGTGGTTACTGGACTACTCATGTCTTCTTGTAATTCGGAAAACTGAAGATATATTGAGAACCCAAATGATCTGTGAAAGAATCTAAGTGTTACCCATAATTTGAGTGAGAGGCTTTATCTTGCCAAAGCGAACAGCAGGGAGGCAAGTAGAATGGTGGAACATCGCTGACGCAGAGCAGCTTGGACCTAAATAACCTGTTGTTAGGAACTTCGGAGTTTGGGTCCACTGAGACCCACTAACTAAGGCTTGCAGAGCGCGCTCTGGTGAAAGGACAATATCGACTGTGAGCAACGTAGCCAAAACTATACTAGAATTTGCGAATAATCCCTGGACTCTCTTCCACGTTATTTGGACCACCTTTCGAGTATGCGATATCAATCTGGGTCCCCCCCCCTCAAAAGGGGTAGATGGAGCAAGTTCAACCCCTTACCACGCCCTTGACTCCAAAACTAAGTGACGCCATGGAAATCGAGCGTGGCTAAAGGTGGAATAAGCTTACTTTGGGATATCGCAGTTCACGGAATTACTGCAATTCACCTTTCGATTGAGGTGCTTCGGCCTCCCGATCGTTCTTCTGGCGACCGATGACACACAGGAGAGAGCATCTGGCTAAGTTTGAGAAAACCTGTATAGACCTGTTATAAGCCAATTTACTGGAGCATTTAACCCATGGAATACCTTTTTCCAGTGTTGTTACAGTGCCGTCGATTGACGCGTTCAAGCTGGTTATAGATACTTGCTTATGGACAAACAGTAGAATCCGATGGAGAGAGGGCAGCGTATCTCAGAATGCATAAGCGAATACCTAAAATAATCGCCGCCGTGCACTGAAATTCACGGGACCCAGACGAGACAGCATGCTGATCTGTTCATCCGACCTTGGTTTTACCTATAGAATGGAAAATAATCAGCTTACTAATGGAAGACCAGATGATCACCACTCACAGACCACCCCAAAGTTTGAGGCTGATCTGTAACTTACAACCGAATAATATTTGTTGAGTTTGTCAGCAATATACCCTGTGCCAAGGGCTGGTTGATTCCAGCTGTCACAGATTCGGTCACCGGAAAGTGCGGGAGCAGGAGAGATACAGCCAAGTAGGGGATGAGTAAATCTTGTTGTTTGAAGAAAGAGAAACTGGGCGGTTGCACATTGAAGGAGGAATATCACTGACTGCGTGATTGAGCTGGGCCTGCCAGTGTCGTTAACCATAGACGAGTTTAAGCCTAGGGTGCCCATTTAGAAAAATGGCAAGATTATATATTTTCTGCCAACCTTTTCTGTCATAAACTGATTTAACTGAGTTCACGTCCGAACTCGAAGTTGCGTTCTGTACGCTAATCAGTTGAGCAATCCGTACTCTCAATTCTATTATTCTCGGTCCTAGGGCGTCCATGAGATTCAAGAGGAAGGACGTTCCCAGCTGTATTTCATGTACATGTGGTTTCATAGATACCTAATGTAGTAAGCATTGCCCCCAAAACAGCACCATTAATTATGACCCAAAGGGCTGCATTCCATAAAAGATAACCACGCCAGTTCGATTAGCGTCCATGAATTAAAACGCAAGTTCTCCTTATCGTGACATACCCGGTCGTCAGTTGGGTGACATGCACACCAATCCAAAACGTTTCAAATTATCCATACTTGGGGCAAAGAACTGTGTTGCGTCACCCCATTTCGTGAGCTTCCTCCAGTCGTAAAAAATTATACTAAGTCAACAGGTGCTTGTTCGGACTATGTTCGTCGTTACGGACTCGAGGACCTCATTAAGCATGTTACCACGGTGCTACTTTTGGTGGATATCACCCCGGAAAAGGGTGTCGAAACTTGCTTGGTCCAGAGATTTACCCACAGTTCCATCCCAGCTAATCACAGAAGGGATATTTTCAAGTGAGTTTTATTAGACGATCTTCTGTCGTCAAAATAGGTAAGCACGGAAAAAGTACCTCACATGCTGGACTTACATGTAACCACAAGTATCGTGAAAAGTTTGATTCGACTCACGCTTCATTGTTTCTCACCTCATGAATATTCTTTTCACTATTAATAGTTTAGCAGCTATTCAGGTGATTTCAGTCAAGTGCAAAGCCGGCTACCATTACTGCGATGTAACAGACAGGATTCTTCACGCTCAGTCCGACAACATCATCTCCACATTCAAGAGACATGAATGTGTGCGTAGCAAACGAAATGGTAGGCTCGTTGTCGCCAGTCGTACCAATGATACCATGCACAATAAGTTTATGACGTGGAAACATTTTCTGCTGTTTCACACAAAGGGTGTCCCTCAGTGAATTTAGAAAATCTGTGAATGGTGGGGAAATAGTCCCTTTTTCGTCGATTTCAACTTGTCCAAGATAAGTGTTCAAACTTTCCTCAAGTTGTTCTGCAACAACTTTACGGTTTTTAGCGAAGGTGAAGACAGGTGGAGGACATATTTGGTAAGTGTTCTGTTTTCGAGCTTTTACTCTGGCTCGAAGAGCTCCCAACATTCTGTTGCATCAATAAGATGTTGAGACAGCAGTACTACTCCATTTTCTGCCAGACTATGAATGTTTAAACCTGTGATCAATGAGCAGAACGCCGAACACGTGAGGCTCGTCATCTGGTCTAACGTACTGATATCAACGAATCTTTTGAAACGAACAGAATTCCCCGATTTGCAGGAGTAAAAACAAGCCATTTTGGTGATAACAAACTGCAGGGGTCATTTTTAACTTTCAATTTGTAACCGTGCCTGCATAGTTAAAAACACATAAGTGCATCCAAACGAACGCCCGAAGACTATGAAACAACGGACTGGCCCGTCAAAGTAATAAGTGAAACTTCCAAAGGATCCCTAATACACATCCCCAAAGATCCCTAATAAGGTGAACCCAAATATACTTTGAAAAGACGTTCGGGGCTGTTACTGAAAATGGATCGATCGCAGCCAGAGTTCAACTTCAGTCACATGATATTTGAGGAAAGCTTTAGATGGAATGCAACTGAACAGTGATATGCTTCCATGTTCAGTCGACGGATAGTGCAACCCACCATCTATAAATTTCACATCAACTAGAATCCCATGGTTGATACGAGCGGTTAACGAAATCAACAACTTTGTGTAAAGAAGGCCCCCTTGTTATGTAGCGAGTTGTCAAAGCTAGGACTGAATGTATGATGTAACCGATCACACACGAGCCAAAAATTTATCACATTTTCTATGTTACAGTTGAATTGGTCAGTATGTCTGAGAAACACCAATTAAAGGACGAAGGCATTCTAATTCAGACTGGTACGCAAATGTGCTTTCGTCTCAGCAAAAGTTACAATCCATCCTCCAGTGACTTGGTCGACACATTATAATGAAAGTGGAAAACGAAAATGGTGTGCTGCTAGACCACAATAATTACCACGAATTACGCTATCTTGTTTTCTACACCAACTGACTGGCTGACTAACCCCAAGTCTACAATTAGGTATGCACAAGTTGCGAACAGATACCATTCATTCGCCGGGATTCAGAACCAACCAATTAGCGCTATCGGGCTCGAGATTGTTCAGTGATAAGGGCGCCAGCCTACAGAACGGAAGGCCAGTAGGGCTCGAACACAATCTCAACATCTAGACTGCTCTTCTCTAGGCGTGAACAACCCGGCAGTATCTCAGCTCCCGTGCCCCCTTCTGTTAGGATGGGAGGTAGGCACCGAAAAGGTGCTACAGCTAAACGATTTTTATTTATCAAGCACAGAGGATTTCGGTAAAGATCGTCCATTGTTTATTCAACGGACTAACTTTAGGAGGTTGAACACTTGTGGAATAGGAAAAACATCAGCGCGCGATAATCACGTGCTCCAGAAGATACCTCCGTAATGAAATCTCGGTAAATTTCCATTATATTGCAAAAAAGGTGTGTGGAAAGTGAGTTAAAGTATGACATGCCTCACATCATCATCATCATCATCAATGACAGCATATATATATTATATTGCAAGGTGTGTGGAAAGTGAGTTAAACTATGACATGCCTCACATCATCATCATCATCATCATCATCAATGACAGCATATATATATA